CAGCTTCTGCAAACTCGTGCTCCCTGCTGTGAATTCCCTGTGCTTGCTGAGCTCCCTGTGTGTGTTATTGATCTGGTGTGTTATGTAGGAAAACAAGGTGATCAGTCAGCACTTCAAGCATGTTTCTCTGACTGTTCTCATAGGAGTCTTACTTCTGAAATCATGGAATCATGGATGAAAAACAAATAGGTCTTATTTAGTGAAAAGTATTTTTCATTTTATTTTATTACATTTTGTGTGTGCACCATCAAATCAGATCTGACTGGTACAGGAGGAGATTGCCCCTCCTTCTCCAGCAGAGCATCTCGTGGATTTGAACTGCTTGCCTCTGGGATTGCAGTGCAACTTCTTGCCACTAGGCCACCAGAGCTCCCTTAGCAAAAGGTATTTTTAAATGCACTGAACGTCAAGAGATCTTGGATATTTACCAAGTACTCCACTTCCCGGTCCCACGACCTAGTGGGGGTTCTAATGTGCTGGAGCTCACTCAGGCTCGGAGAAGCTCTCTCTCCATGGCAGTGACCGCAGTTCAGTCCTTGAACCACCAGTCTTTCAGTTGCAGACCCGTGTATAACTGGTTGTGCCCTGTAGTTGTTGTTACACACTGTCAGGCTGGAGCCGACCCACAGCCGACCCTCCAGTGCGTTTTCAGAGGCAGTAAATTGCGTGGAAGAATTGCCCATCTTTCTCTCATGGAGCAGGCTTGGGACTGCAGCGTAGCTTCTTACCACTCGGCTGCCAGAGCTCCCTCAGATGCACCCTAAGACCTCAAAGACTGCTCATCCAGCAGTGACAGCCTGCAGGGTGTCCATGGTCCCAGGCAGGATCAGTGGGGACCCTGGGTGACCTCACTGTGTGACGGGGTCAAGGCCGAGCAGTAGATTAGATGCAGAGCCTGAGTCAGTGTAGAGTTGAATCTCATGTTCCCCTTGTGGCCAAGGTACTTATTTTCTCTAAAACTCAGAAGGAGTTCTGGTGGGACAGTGGGTTTAATGTTGGGCTGAGACTTGAAAAGTTAGCAGTTCAAACCCACTAGTCACTTAGTGTCTTTGAGAGCAAGCACAACCTTGGACGCCTGTGAGGCCACTCCACTGAGTCCTTCAGGGTCACTGTGGGTCAGGCTCAACAGGACAGGAATGAAGCAAGTCTCCACATCCTCCCTGGCTAGATGTGGTGACGGCAGCGGCCTCTAAGTCTGTGGAAGCTCCAAGTGGGCAAATCCATGAAGACAATGTTGGAATATCGATGCTGAACTCCAGCGGCAAACAGCAGCTCCTTGACTCTACTCCTTTCAAGCCCCTGGATTCACCGTCCTTTCCTCCAGTCCACGTCGACAGCTCCCTGTGCTCCTAAACCAGTGCCTTTTGTAGCCTTGGACTCTCCACCGGCTTCCTTCTCAGCTTCCTTTAACGGGTGATGTTTCAGTTACATGCCCAGCTTGTACTAGCGCACAGCAGGGGTTTAAATGGAGACGTGTCTCCATTGTCTCTGTTAGTAACACAGCCAAGAATGCCTGTCAGGTGAGGCAATTGTTGTTGTGGGTGAGTCAGCACACACCCCATGCTTGGAGTCTTGGGACTCTGTGTGTGCACATGCACGGATTATCTGGCCTCTCCCACCCAAACCAGATTTTCCTGTAATGATGCACCTGCGAGTCGACTCTCCAGTTCTCTTACCGACTTTCCTCTAAATGCATCTCCCTTTTGCTGTCCGCCCAGTTTCCCCCTCACCCAGTTAGCCAGACGGATCCTGGAGCCCCATCTCCCCAAGGCTGGCTGACTGGGTCCCACCCACCCTCCACACCCCTGGCCCACCTCTTGCGCTCCTCCCATCACAGGTCTCTACTCTGGGGCACAACTGCTCACTCCTTTCGCTTTCTTGACATTTGCCAAGTCACCTCCACGCCCTCCCTAAGACACACCCTTCTCCAGGATGGCATTAATCCATGACCTCTCTAACATACATGTTTCTCAAGGATGGCATCCCTGAGTTTTCTTATTTTGCAGTTTGGAAATTTTAAAAAGAATCTATTAAGACTACTGGAAAAATCCAGGGTCAGGGACCTCTCCAGAATACTGAGAAGCAATAGTGTCAGTCTAGAGACTAAGGTGCACCTGATCCAGGCCATGGTCTTTGCAGTTACTTGCTATGCATCAGAGAGCTAGACAACGACTAAGGGTGACTGAGAAGAATTGTTGCTTTTGAGTTTTGGTGCTGGGGAAGAGTCTTGAACATACCATGGATTGCCAAGAAAACAAATAGGTCTGTCTTGGCGAGGGTAAAGCCAAGTTTCTCCTTGGAGGCTAGGATTTTCAAGCTCTGTCTCACATACTTTGGGCACGTGGCCAGAAGGGACTGGTCCTTGGAGAAGGACATCATGCTTGGAAGGGTGGAGGGACAGCACAGAAGAGGAAGATCCCAGATGAGAGGGATTGATACAGTAACTGGGGCAATGAGGTGTGTTGGAGTCAGTGAGACTGGCTCAGGACAGGGCAGGCTTCAGAGCTGCTGTACGTGGGCCACTATGAATTGCAGGTGATTCGACAGCACATGACGACGACAACAACAACATATTAAGACTTGTTTTAGAACACAGGATACGGTCTATCTGGTGCACATACTTCCTGCTGCTGCTGCTGCCACTGCTGCTGGAAGTGGAGGAGGGGCTTTGCCAATTTCAAGTAGGTTGTTTGGCTGACAGTGTTCAAAACTTCTGTATTCACATGGGCTCTCCTCTGTGCTACATCAGCTATGGAGCGAGGGTGGAGTCTCCGCCCGTGACTGGGGATACCTCTCTCCTTGTGGTTCTGTGGCTGGGGATACCTCTCTCCCTGTGGTTCTAAAGAGTTTTGTGCCGTTGGATGAAGAAAAGCTATGCCCACTTGATAAATGGAATAGATTCAATGGCTACTGTTTTGTGTGTTTTTTTGGTCATTATATAGCAACCCTCCTCATACTTTATATTAAGTGTTTTTACTGCCTATACTGTGTATCCTATACTGTCTACACAGAATGCCCTATACTGTTTATACTGTGTATCCTATACTGTCTATATGTAGTATCATATACCTTCTATACAAAATACCCTGTACTGTTTATACTGCGTATCCTATACTGTCTATATGTAGTATCCTATACCCTCTACACAGAATACCCTGGACTGTTTATACAAAGTGTCCCACACTGTCTATACAGAGTATCCTATAGTCTCTGTACAGAGTAGTTTTGGCTCCATAGTTTTCTTTTCCAGCTTCCATATAATTATTACCAGCCCAGCATCCTTAAGTCTCTCTAGTCCTTGGTCTGTGGGGTCATGTCTTAAGAACAAAGACGCATTGCCTTTTCTGCTTGGTGGCACCACCGAGCCACCACAGCTGGTGGCCAATTACCAGCCAGATTACACGTGGCAATGCAACTTCGTGGGGTGCGAGAACAATCTCTCCTGCTGGCAGGATACAGCCCTTGTCCACCCTGCCTTCATGCTCTGTGGGTTGATCCAAGAGAAATTCTAGGAGAAAAACGGGAGGGAAAGCTGGGAATCCAAGAGGAAGGGGCCGTGAGTGCAGCTGAGGGTTTGCTCCCACCCTGACATGCTTGCAGCCACATCTGGGCCTATGAACTAACTTGAAAGATCTGGGACCATGTGACACAGACCTTCACAGGCCTCTTCAGCTGAAGTGACTTATCATGTGCTCTGGATGTCCTAAGAGTGCAAGACCTTTGATGCCTGATTGATCACCCATTAAATCAGCATTAGAAGGAAAACAAGAACTCCGGAGCACTGTAGATCTGATCTGGCACATGGTCACCTTCCATCAGGCTTTGGACGGGACCTGTACAGGAAGGAGACTGCCCAGCTTTCTCCCGCCCAGAGGCTGGTGGATTCGAATCACCAGGCCTTCTTAATATTAGGAGAGAATTCCTTAAATAAATTTTTTAAAAAATCAGAATATGCACACTCACAGTCACAGTGCGTGCAAATACAGCCCAAACGCTGGTCAGCAGCAGAAAGGCTGACCACAACTGAGCTGTATCACTGCAGCAGAAGCCACCAGACTTGGAGCGGCTACGTGCTCTGTTCTCACCCAAAGGTCGGTGGTTCGAACCTGCCAATGGATCCATGTCAGAAAGATGAGGAGAGCTGTTCCTGTAAACACTGCGCTGTGGAAACTCGTGGGCAGCTCGACTCTGTTGTACAGCATAGCTCTGAACTGAATCAGCTTGGGGGGCGGGGGGTGAGTCACATGATTTCTTCTGTACAAGCCCACGCTGTTGTCTTTGTTGCTGCTGGTGACAAAACCATAGTCCTGATTTTGCCAGATTCCTGGTGTTTTAGCTACAGTATTATGGCAATTGGCATCTGTAAACCCAGACATTTTTGGCGAATGAAGCTGAGAAAAAAAGCCTTTCTAAAAATCAAGGCTTCTGCTCACTGTGTCATTGAGACCACAAAGAGGGTGCGCAGCGATTTTGTAGAAGCTGCTCTGCGATCTCAAAGGCACATGGTTCTAGGCCACCGGCTGCTCCACAAAAGAACGGACAATCTCTCCAACCCCAGAGGAAGGTCAGCTCTGGGTCTGTTCCGACTCCCAGTACACAACACAACAACAGCATTCTCAACGTAAGTGTAGACGTAATTAGTCCTCAGGTTGCAGGTCTTTTGTAGCCTCCAGGAGCATCCTGAGCCCTTGCCCCCAAGCCTATGTTCCCCTCTCCCCACTGCCCTCCCCACCTGGGCGTCTTGATGCCTGCAGACCCTCGGGTGGCCGTCAGGGGTCTCTCGAGAGCTGTCCCCGCTCGCAGGCAAGCCTAGTTCATTGTCCGCTAGGGGACCCCTCAGGGCAGTGGCAGGACATGACGTGGCCGGTGGGGCTGTCCCCAGGGCGTGGAAGGTGTTGCATGAGTTGCGGGGACGTGAGTCCTCACTTGGCTGCAGCAGGTCTCTGAGAGGGAGAGGCAGCCTCCTTCGTGGGGAGCTGACCCCAAGGCTGGCCGCAATTATGCCCTGGTCCCTCCTTGTCCTTCTGCTGAGCACTTTCCTCGGTGGGTGCCCACCTCCTCCCGGGTGAGCCTAAGCCCTCAAGGCAGGTGTTACGTGGATCCCCTGGGGAAGGGTCTCCTCTCAGGGAACCCCTCACCCAGCCTCTCGCAGTCCCCACTCGACCTGGCCAGGGCAGCTGGAACCCTCTGGACGCTGAGTCCGGGTGGAGACCTCTAAGAGACCCCTCCTGGTCCACAGGAGTCAGCGCGCAGACCGTGCACCAGTGGCCGGTGGTTGTGGTGCGGCGTGTGGGCAGCCCCCTGACCCTGCGATGCACTGTGACCGGGACCTCGAACCCCAATCTGTACTGGTACCGGCGGGCCACGGATGGGCCCCTCCAGCTGCTCTTCGTCTCCATTAGCGTGGACGACCTTCAGGCCGAGGGCCCGGGGCACCTCTCGGCTTCCCGTCCCAGGGACGGCGAGTTGACTCTGAGTGCCGAGTCCCTGCAGCCAGGGGACTCGGGAACATATCTCTGCGCCTGGGGCGCACACTGCGTGGGTCCTGCCAGTCGCCTTGCAAAAACCCAGCTCTGGGCACACACGGCCCCGCGGAGGGCTGCTCTGTGACATCAGGGAGCTGGGGCGCGCGGACCCCAGGCTGGAAGGCCATGGAGTAGAGCCAGCCCACGGAGGTGACCTCAGGCGCCCGCGCACACGCTCAAGTCCCGGGGAGGACGTGGGTCTGCACTAGAATCATGCTTCAGTCCGCAGGGCATTCCCTGCAGCCCCCTCGAGTCTACGCTGGGAGAAGGGACGGGCGGGAGGTCGGGGGTCATCTCCCGCAGGTCGGGGCAGTGGCGGTGAGGCTATGGGGTCCGCTCACGCGGCAGGAATTCTGGGCCAACTCTGGCTCTGGAGTTTGTTAGTCAGGAGCGCGCAGGCGCCTCCCTTCCATAACCCTGTGGAGGAGAGCGGGAGGGAGGAGAGGACAGGAGAGGGCGCATCCCGGGAAGGAGAGCGCTGGCTGTAGAGCGCAGCCCGAGGTTGGCTGGGGCGGGGCCACGGTTGCCATGGTAACTGCTCCCCCGCCCCTTAGCTGAGGCCTTTGGCCGGCAGTCGCCTCCCTCCCCGTCCCAGCAGGGGGCAAGAGCGGACTGGAGATGCCCAGGGCTCCTGCGTGGGCGCGCATCCACGCACTCTTCTCCTGAATCCTCCACCCACAGAAGGACCAGCCCTCGGGTCTCTGAGTGACCCGAGACCACGTGCTACCTCGAGACCCCACGCTAACCGAAAGGCCGCAGCCAGAGCCACTGGGGGCTCCTGGGGAGAAAGATGGGTCCTCTCCGTTTAGCTTCACAGCCTCTGAAAACCTGCTGCAGGCTATGAGTTGGATCTTGATGGAAGCACACATCAGGCTGGGGACGCAGAGGTGCTGCGCTGGGCGCTAACCGAAAGGCTGCTGCCATCACCCATCGCACCAAAGGGTTCTTTCCACTTCGATATACAGCGTAGGGCAGTAGACCAGCTGGGGGCCTCCATGAATCCCAACCTCTGGACGCTGTGGGCTCACAGGGCCCGGAAAGCCCTGAGTGTGACAGTTTTCAAAGAAGTCCTGGTGGAGCAGTGGATAAGCGCTGCCTGCTAACTGAGAAGCCAGCTGTGCGCGCTCGTCCGTGGCACCAGGCCAAGAGAGGAGGCTTCTGCTGTGGAGATGGCAGCCCTGGCCACAAGGCGGCTCCTCTGTCCCGGAGGGTCACCCTGTGAGCCACAACTGAGGGCTCTGTCGCTCAGCACCTCCAGGCTTCCGTGCCCCCGACGGGCTTTCTGTGTATTTGATTCCAGGAGATTCACATGAGCAATTGTAGACGCCTAATTGTAGACGCGAGGGAGCACTGGTGACCTGGTCCTGGGGCCTTGTGCGGCTAACACAAAAACCTGGTCTCTGGCCGTTCAAATCCACCAGCAGCTCCCAGGAGAATGAGGGGCGGTCTCTTTTGGTGCAACTTCATCCTCCAGAGTCCCTGCTAGAGGGCCTGCTGGGGTTCGACTGCACGCATGGGCCTCAGCTGACTTCACTCAAATGAGAGAATTCTTTCCTCAGATTTAAGATGACACATGGTATAGTGAATGCTACCAACACAGAACGCACGTGGATGACAAACCTGGACTTTGTGTCCTCCTGGATTTGGCCGTCAGCTGGTCTGCCGGGCCATTAATCCGGTGTCTCAGCGGTGAGCACTGGCTCCACTCGGACACACATCTGGCCCCGAGCTGCCTGGTGGTGATTTAGACCAGCAGTACCGTGCCCTGGCAGCATGGGGGGCCCGAGTGGGGTGTGGAGAGCTGGGTGGTGGTGTGAGATCGTAAAGCAGGGAAGCTGAGCCCAAATCACCACACTGGACACGGCCAGATCCAGGGAGGTTGAGAGAGTAGCCCCACCCTGGTGCCCACACTCTGCGCATCTCCGTGCAGGAGGATCAGAGAGCCCAGGACGCTGACTCCGACCACCCACAAAGCCAGACCAGTGCCCTTGAGCCCGCCCCGGTGCATGGCCCTCCTCCATGGCATTTCTGAGGCCACAGATCTTCACGGAACACTCTGTCTCTCTCATCTTTGTGCCTCGGAGGAACTGGTGGGTTTGAACTACCAATCTTTTGGCTGGGAATCCACCCTCTAACCCACTATGCTATCAAGGCTCCTTCAGAAATCCAGTCTCTGAAGAGCCAGAACGAGGGCCACCAGCTCCCAGCAACAGCCCCTGCTCCAACGTGCCCTCTGCTAGGAAGTGAGCTGCTTCTTTGTCCCTTCAGACCCTGGGGTCTGGGGCCCATGCCGCTGTGCCTTTGCTGGGGGTCTGGCAGGGCCCCATCCTGGATCTGGTTCTGGTGGTGACACAGAGGCTGTCCACATCCTGCCCCCTGATCCCCAGCATGTTCACAGGTTGTGACCAGGTAGCCCACTGCCCTGAAGCCCCCCCCCCCATAAATCACCTCCGGATTCACAGGGAGGGGTCGTAGATGCGGGGGTTTGAGGGTGATGGGTGCCCTGCAGGGGAGCTAGGGCACTGAAGCCAGGCATACCCAGGGCTTGTCCAGGAGCTGGGGGCGGGGGGCGGGGGTGGGCTTGAAGGCGCTGTACTGAGCTCACTGCAGCCCTTCTGGGGAGGCTGAGCAGGCCCCACCGCTGTCCTCCCACCCTGCATGGGGCCTAGTTCTGGGGTGTCTGCTCCCTTCTGCAGTTGGGTTCCCCCACACCAGGTGTGATCAATAGTGCCCTTGACAGAGGGCCCACGGCAAGTGTGGGTGAGAGCAGTGGATCTGGGGTGAGCCGGTGCCTGCTCTGTTTCCCCCACCCTGGGGTACATTCCTCTGACTCAGGACCACTCTCACCATGGGTGGAGGGAAATGGGGACAAGTATGTGTGAGTCCGGGATGGGGGTGGGGGTGCTGGTGCTGAGTAAGGTGGGAACCTGGAGGCCCACTTGGCCACAGTGGTGAGGAGCACAGGCAAGGGTCATAGGCAGGGGGCTGCACGGGGGCCTCTCTGGTCTCAGGCAGCACCCCAGCAGACTGGGTCATGGAAAGGGGCTGCAGGTGGGGCCAGGACACCTAGTTGCCCCTAGGGTCCCCCTCTCCTTTCCCACTGAGCTTCTGTCTTCTTCTGGGGTGTAGCTAGGGGGGTTGGGGTGAAGGCAGGAAGTGGCAGGTGGGTGGGTCGGGCCTCAAAATGTCAGCCCGCATCCTGTTGTGAGTCTCAGGCAGCAGGTGCTGCCGTTAGTGGGGCTGATGGTGTCCCAGATAAGAGCCAGTGGTTCAGAACCCCACCCCCCCACATCTGCAGATGACTCACAGACTGTGCCCCAGCCCCCCTCCCACACAGACGTGTGGGCTCTGAACACTTCCTGTCCTTTGGGGCCTCCTTCCTGGGGGCCCCTCACTCATGTAAGATGAGGGTCCAGGAGTCTCCTGGGTATTCATGTCCTCTGAATGGTGGTGGTGGGACCCCAGTGACAGTCTTCGTGGGTCTCTGGATCCCCTGTTCTCAAAGCCCAGTTGCCCCCATCCTCTCACCTCCCAGAGTGAGAAGTGACAGGTTGCTGTGGCCACACAGCAAGGGCCTGAAGCCCAGAGCTGACTTCACAAGGAGCCATTTCCTGTCACCTCTGTGTCCCCAGGCCCACGTGTGAGCACTCCCCTCTCCTCTCTCCATTCACTTGGTGACTCATTTGTACAGAGGCATAAAACCCCACCACCCTCAGGAGATCCCAACCCAGTGACCCCATGGGGTGGAGGAGAACTTGGCCCCTAGGGTTTCCACGTCCATGATCTGCACAAATGAAGGCTGCTCCTCTCTCTCGCACAGTGACTGACGGATTCGAACCACCAGCCTTACAATTGGCAGCTCAGCACCTAACCACTGCACCACCCAGAACACACTGCTATCGGGTGACTGGGACTTATTCTGAGGCCCTGCAGGACCCATCTGGATTGTCCCCAAGGGAGTGACCAAGGATGTGACTTTTTTTTATCATTCATATACATTTTGTTTCATGCATATACATTGTGTTTTACAGTCTTTACATGATATTTCATTCACATATATTTTGGTTTATCCTCCTTACAATCATCTTAATAATAAATACATATATGAAAGCATGTTAGCCAGCTGCTTCATGCGTCATGCCCTAACATCCCCCTTTCAGATGGCCGATTGCTAACTTGTCTTTGCCTATCGAACCAGTGCTCTGAGGAACAAGCATGGCCCTTTGCTGAAGAATCTTCTGTTGAACTTGGAAACGTTGAGCTTCTGCGTCCACAAGTCAAGTCCAAGTCCCGAGCGAGCCAGCAGGAGCAGCAGTCGATGCGCGTTCACGGCATGGAGCGTCTTCTCTTCATCCGGCTGGGTTCTGGTCGACTCATCCCAGCCATCCAGGGCCAGGGCCATCTGCTGCACACGTGGGAGCCCACGCTTCTCCCTGCTTTCCAGACCTCTGGTCTCCACACTCTGTCATCGCACATTCCTCACTCCCCACGTGGGGCCAAGCCAACAATCCAGGGATCCTTAGCTCCTCAAGTCAACAGCCCTCCCCTGCACATCAACCAGTCTGTGCATGCGGGGTGGACAGCGCTGAGGACACACGTCCAGCCTCTTCCTCCATTGTTGTATTCTTCCGTGTCCACTGCTGTGGATCCGGGCGGTCACTGTGAGTGGGCGTGCTCCAGCCTCACGTCGTCTCGGGAATGGGCTCTGGTGGGCACCTGCTCACCGTGCCTCAGCGGCCACACAGCTAGTTCCAGTTTTAAAAAGACTGTCTCCTCCTTTCCTTTTTGCTAAGGATGTGACTCTTTACAGAGCAGACACAATATATTTCCCCCCAAGAAGTGGCTGCTAGATTTGAACCCCCAACTTTTCTTTAAATTTTGCTTTTCTTTGAAAGTTTTTTAAAAAATTTATTATTAATTTCAATGAAAATTTACAGAGACTTTGGATTTCCATTCATTCATTGTTGCACTTTTCTCCCCTCCCAACCCTTCCCCCTAGTACACTACTCTCTTGGAAAAGTAAAAGATAAATTCTTTCATTGTTTGAACCCCCAACTTTTCAGTCAAGAGCTCAGTGCTCAACCA